CCACTCTACATTCATTCTCAAACTTGAACTTACAAAGATGTCATTGGATGGTTAGAAATATAGACAGCTACGGAGCTATAAAGTCTACCTTTGTAAACTTTAGCAAAGGGAGGCTCAGGCAGGTTTCACTAGATTCAATATTGCAAGGCTGTCATACTCTGAGGATGTCAGATAAGAGCCATGACCATTAGCACACTTAGAAACCAGCTGCCAATATACATTAATTTTCCAAAGGAAAAAATATCGTGCTGGATTCTCCCTTTCAAGATTAGGCATGTCCATAGGACACTAAACTCTCAAAAGATGAAGAGACGAGCATCTTAGGTTTCCCCAAGGCAACTCTAAATTTCTCAGCAGGGGACAAATTGAGAGCACCAATTCAGATATTTTTTCATCTGGCAGCAGCCTCCTTTTCTTCCAGCTTTACTTTGTTCAACTTCTCCCATCATGATCATTTTCAACAACACTGGCTTCATTAGTCTACTAATTTCTCTCCCAATAGTCAGTCACCTTCTATCTTCCTTTTTCATCGTATCCCACTTAGATCGTGTACTTTCAGTATTAATTTCAGCACCCCAATGAGCCTGAGGTATTTTACTGAAATCAGAAATGTTCCAGTACTGCAGAGACGGCCGTACTGATTAAGAGTGTTGCTTTGTAACCATGGGCTAAGGAGCTGATTCCCTGGCATCCTCCAAAGGTGACCTATGAGTATGTGTGTGTTTTTTTCCTTAATCACTAACGACTCAAGGATTTATTCTATTTTATTTTATTTTTGAGACAGCTTCTTGCTCTGTTGCTGAGGTTGAAGTGCAGTAGCATAATTTAGGCTCACTGCAGCCTCAATCTCCCTGGCTCAAGTGATCCTCCTGCCTCAGCTTCCTGAGTAGCTGGGGCTACAGGCTCACTACCACACCCAGGTAAAAAAAAAATTTTTTTTTTTTCTTTTTTGAGACGGAGTTTCGCTCTTGTTACCCAGGCTGGAGTGCAATGGTGCGATCTCGGCTCATGGCAACCTCCACCTCCTGGGTTCAGGCAATTCTTCTGCCTCAGTCTCCTGAGTAGCTGGGATTACAGGCACGCGCCACCATGCCCAGCTAATTTTTTGTATGTTTAGTAGAGACATGTTGACCAGGATGGTCTCAATCTCTTGACCTCACGATCCACCCGCCTCGGCCTCCCAAAGTGCTGGGATTACAGGTGTGAGTCACCCCACTAGGCCCGACTCAAGAATGTTGAACATATTGGGTGCATTTTGGTTTATTGAATTTAATATTGTTTCTGAAGATGAAACTGTCCTATCTTTGACAGTGGGAACCTCTTTAACATGGCTCTTGGGTCCTTTTGACATAAGCCCAGTAGTCCTTGAAAGTTTCCTTGCTTTCTGGTGTGATGGAGCTTCTTTCCAGCTCATCTTACAATTTTTTTTTTTTTTTGAGATTACCTAGGCTAGAGCGCAGTGGCATGATCTTCATTCACTGCAACCTCCACCTCCCAGATTGAAACCGTTCTCCTGCCTCAGCCTCCCAAGTAGCTGGGACTACAGGTGCACAGCACCATGCCTCGCTAATTTTTTGTATTTTTAGTAGAGACGGTGTTTTGCAATGTTGGCCAGACTGGTCTTAAACTCCTGACCTCAGGTGATCTGCCTGCCTCAGCCTCCCAAAGTACTAAGATTACAGGTGTGAGCCACCGTGTCTAGCCCATCTTACATGTTTTTGTCCCAGACTGAGAATCAGCCATTTCTATCAGGAGCCTGGGTTTCTGATTCCCTTTAACAGAAAATGGCATTTACAGGCCACAGCCTAGGCATGAGAGACGCTAATTGCTACTAAATTGGTTATGGTTTCTAAGCCTTTTTAGTGGACAGAGCCCAAACATTCTCTTTTTAGGAGAAAGAAATCATAAGTTCATTTTATTCAAACTTAGGATTACAAGGTTTTTATTTAATTTTTTAATTAAAAAGTTTAATTGAAAAGTTAAAAAGGGCCAGGTGCCAGGTGCGGTGGCTCACGCCTATAATCCTAGCACTTTGGGAGGCTGAGGTGGGTGGATCACCTGAGGTCAGGAGTTCAAGACCAGCCTGGCCATCATAGTGAAACCCCATCTTAAAAAAAAAAAGGGGGGGCCAGGTACAGTGGTTCATGCTTGTAATCCCAAAACTTTGGGAGGCAGAGGTAGGTGGATCATCGGAGGTCAGGAGTTTGAGACCAGCCTGGCCAACATGGTGAAACCCTGTCTCTACTAAAAATACAAAAAATTAGGTGGTCATGGTGGCGGGCACCTGTAACCTCAGCTACTGGGGAGTCTGAGGCAGGAGGATTTCTTGAATCTAGGATATGGAGGTTATAGTGAGCCAAGATTGTGCCACTGCACTCCAGCCTGGGCAACAGAGTGAGACCCCATCCCCCACCACACACACACACACACACACACACACACACACACACACAAAATGTTAAAAAGTTTTTAATTAAAAAGTTTTAAATTTTAGTTTTATATCACTTTTACACTGAAAATTTTAGTTTCTAAGAATATTAATATAATTTTATTTGTTATATATAAAATAGTTTTAGAATAACAATACCAAAATTATTACTAACCATATAATTACTGAAAACAGTTTAAAACGTTTTTGACTTTTAAAAGATTCCAGATATATTCCAGCTAGGATGCATAGTCAAATTATTGTGTTTTAAAACCATGTTAAATAATCCTTTCTGTATGGTTAAGCCACCAAGTCAATTCGAAGGGTAGATTTATTTGTTTCCTTTTGCTTTTGATTTTTTTGAATTGATTTTCTTTTCCATTTTGATTTAACATTGTTTTATAATTACATAAACCTGGAGTCTCATCTACTTGGGAGGCTGAGTTGGGAGAATGAAGCCCCAGAGTATAAGAGTACAGGGCACTAGGATCATAGCTGTGAATGATCTGCACTTCTGTTTGGGCGACATAGCAAGACCCATCTCTAAAAAACAAAAACAAATACACAATACATTGACATGGTTTGAAATCAAATCTACAAAACAATGTATATTCTGAAAACTTTAGTTTTTATTCCTGGTCCCTCCACACTATTCTTTCCCTCTCCCACAGGTTATTGAAATTTTTTTTAACTCAAAATTTGTCTTGTCTATCCTTCCATTTTGGAAAATATAAGCAAGTATTTTATATCTGTGTGCACGTGCACACACACACATATCTCCACCTTTTAGATAAACAGAACCCATGCATACATTTTTTCCACCTCTTTTCAGTTTCCTGGAGCTTGCTTCATGACAGTGTATAAAAATATTCTTCATTCCTTCATTGGGTGCACTACAGCTCCAGTCCCTCACAGATAACCACTTGAGCTGTTTCCAGTTAGTTGCTTTTTTTTGGAGACGAAGTCTTGCTGTGTCACCCAGGCTGGAGTGCAATCACGTGATCTTGGCTCACTGCAACCTCCACGTCCCAGGTTCAAACTATTCTCCTGCCTCAACCTCCCTAGTAGTTGGGATTACAGGCGTGGACCGCCACCCCCAGCTAATTTTTGTATTTTTAGTGGAGTCTGAGTTTCACTGTGTTAGCCAGGATGGTCTCGATCTCCTGACCTCAGGTGATCTGCCCACCTCAACCTCCCTAAGTGCTGGGATTACAGGCATGAGCCACGGTGCCCGGCCTCAGTTATTTGCTATTACAACTGCTGCAGTGTGTAGCCTTCCAGACACTTTATTAAGCTTTTATAAGTATGATGGTATCTGATGGAACCCCACTGATTATAAGAGACACCATCACTCCATATAACACTAAGAAAGAAAAACACCCTACCAATTAACTGTAAAATGCCATTGATTATAAAATAAATCTCAATTTCAGAGCTGTAAAATGTAAAAAAGTATACATCTTAACATTTAGGAAATTAAAATCTCATGTAATCCTCATAACAACCTAAAAGGAAGGTGCATATAACTATCATGAGCACCATGAAGAAACAAACCTTTTCCTGATTTTGGCTCTAATACATTTTTTAAAAATACTTCTTAATATTTTAAAAATAGAGACAAGGGCTTACTATGTTGGCAAGGCTGGACTCAAACTCCTGGCCTGAAGGAATTCTCCTGCCTTGGCCTCCCAAAGTGCTGGAATTACAGCCATAATACCTGGCCATTTGGCTCTAATCTTAGCCCCAAGAACTATGCGGGGTATGTAATAGGCACTTAAATATTTGTTGAATAAATAAATGAGCCCCCATTTTGCAAATGAGGAAACTCTGAGGTATAAAATGTAAGAAACCTGACTGAGAGCAATCATTAGTACTGCCAGAGCCTGGATTTGAACCAAGAAAGTTACGACTCATACCTGCTGCACTCCCCACCATAAATTCATGAGTACCCAGGCAGGCATGGTGGCTCACATCTGTAATCCCAGCCAACACTTTGGGAGGTTGAGGTGGGCGGATTGCTTGAGCTCAGGGGATCAGCTTGGGTAACATGGTTAAACCTGGTCTCTACCAAAAATACCCAAAAAAAGCCTGGGCGCGGTGGCTCACGCCTGTAATCCCACCCCTTTGGGAGGCCTAGGTGGGCAGATCACTTGAGGTCAGGAGTTTGAGACCAGCCTGGCCAACATAGTGAAACCCAATCTCTGAAAAAAAAAAAAAAATTAGCTAAGCATAGTGACATGAACCTGTGGTCCCAGCTACATGGGGCTGAGGTGGGAGGAGAATCCCTTGAGCCTGGAAGGTGGAGGTTGCAGTGAGCCAAGATCCAATCTTGCCATTTTACTCCAACCTGGGTGACATCGTGAAACCCCATCTCAAATAATAATAATTCATGATTACTAGTTAGAGAGGGCCCTCGATAATCCTATTGCTTTTCTCTGGTCAACTTGCTCTTCCACCATGCAGCAACAATTATTGTAAACCCTCACTCTCTCCAAACCTCAAAGATCCCCTCTCCCAGCTCCCCTTGACCCACTCCCTGAGTGATTAGAGAACCTTGCCTCCTCTTTCACAGGAAACACAAAGTGACGACGTAAGAACACTCTCCGCTTCTCACGCAAAGTCACGACGTAAGAACCCTCTCCGCTTCTCACGCAAAGTCACGACGTAAGAACCCTCTCCGCTTCTCACGCAAAGTCACGACGTAAGAACCCTCTCCGCTTCTCACGCAAAGTCACGACGTAAGAACCCTCTCCGCTCCTTACCGAACATGCAAATCTTCCTGTATTCTCAGTAATTCTCTCCTCCTTCCCTCTGTGCCTATATAGGATGTGCCCTTTGTCCTACCAAAGGCTGATTCCTCCACTGGGGCTGGGGATTCTATCTCTTGCCTTCCTTAACACTAGTAGTTATCTCTTTTTCCCTGTAAATTCAACCTGTCCCTCTGTATGAATTAGGGTTCAGCTTGGCTGCATAGAAGAAAAAAATCAAATGAATTGTGGCCTAAATGAGAAATGATTTCACTCTCATGTATTTATTTAAATTTTAATTTGTCTGAGTATGTGATGCTTACACATTGTATAAAAATTAGAAGGTACAAATCATACTCCTACCCTTACCTCAGTCACCTACCTCCTCAACCACTCTTTCAAGTTTAAAAGTAGCATGTAGGCTCAGCACAGTGGCTCATGCCTATAATGCCAACACTTTGGGAGGCTGAGGCAGGCAAATCACGAAGTCAGGAGTTCGAGACCAGCCTAATCAACATGGTGAAACCCCATCTCTACTAAAAATACAAAAATTAGCTGGATGTGGTGGTGCACACCTGTAATCCCAGCTACTCAGGAGGCTGAGGCAGGAGAATAGATTGAACCTGGGAGGTGGAGGTTGTGGTGAGCCGAGACTGCGCCACTGCACTCCAGCCCGGCACCTGGCGACAGAGCGAGACTCTGTCTCAAAAAAAAGAAAAAGAAAAGTAGCCTGTAAAGCAACCAGAGTGGCAACGGTCACTTGGGAGTATGCATAAACGGAGAGAAGAGAAAGGCAGAGACCTGGGCACTCCTGCTTTTAAAGACTGAGCTGGAGAAGTACTGGCAAATAATCTAAGAACAAATGTCACTGAAGAAGGAGGAAAATCCAGAGATTGTTTTGCCCTAGAAGCAAAATAAGAATATATTTTAAGGAAACATATATCTAATACCGCTCAGAGTAAAATAAAAAGAGAAGTGACTGTTATATCTAGCAGAATGGAAACCATTAGTGATTTGGAAAAGAGGAATCTCAGGGGAAATGAATTGAGGAGAAAATGCGGGGTAAAAGGCTAATCAGCAATATGGTCAACTCAACAAATGTTATGAAGGGGAGCAGAGAAACTTGCCTGGGGCTGGAGAGAGGTATGTGGTCCAGATATATTTCTTCTCTCCCTTAAGATAGGAGCTGTTATGGTGAATTGTTTAATGGTGGATTGTTTAATGGTGGAAATAAACCATGAGAGAGGTAGAAATTGATTATACATGTGAGAGGGGATAATTTCCAGAGCAAAGTCTTTGAAGATGCAGGATTTACATGGGTTCTAGAACAAAAAGAGAAGGGCTAGCCTTCTAAATGAACAACACTAGATCCATGGAACTAGAGGTAACTCACGTACAAAAGCAGACTGTAGTTTCAGTGGTCCTTGTCTGCTTTGATTTTTTTTTTTTTTTTTTTAGATGGAGTCTTGCTCTGTCAAGCAGGCTGGAGTGCAGAGTGGCATGATCTCGGCTCACTGCAACTTTGCCTCCGGTTCAAGTGATTCTCCTGCCTCAGCCTCCCGAGTAGCTGGGATTACAGATGACTGCCACCATGCCCAGCTAATTCTTGTTTTTTTTGTTTGTTTGTTTGTTTTGGTAGAGACCGGGTTTCACTAACTTGGCCAGACTGGTGTTGAACTCCTGACCTCATGATCCTCCTGCATCGGCCTCCTAAAGTACTGGGATTTTTTATTTTTTATTTTTTATTTTTTTTTTGAGACAGAGTCTCACTCTGTCACCCAGACTGGAGCACAGTGATAACGGTCTCCACTCACTGCAACCTTTGCCTCCAAGGCTCAAGGGATTCTCCTGCCTTAGTCTCCTGAGTTGCTGGGATTACAGGTGTGTGCCACCACACTCTTCGAACTTTTTATATTTTTGGTAGAGATGGGTTTCACCATGCTGGCCAGGCTGGTCTCAAACTCCTGACCTCAAGTGATCCACCCTCCTCAACCTTCCAAAGTGCTGGGATTACAAGTGTAAGCCACTGCACCTGGCTTGTCTGCTTTGATTTATTCATTTTTTTGTCAAAGCTGTGGGTAAGAGTGGGGCTACAGCTGGGGCTGTGGGGAGGTGGTATCATTTAGAAGCTTTGAAAAGACTGAAGATGTGAAATTGCCTTTTTGAACAGTGGGAAAGAGAACATTTCAAGAAATATAGTAGGATTGTCAAGTATGCTAGGAACCCAACTGAGATTTGGGGCCATGAATTTAAAGAAAATTAATGGATATGATAAATAAGATCAGTTGAGCACTATTTGGCTGCTCTCATGCAGGCCCAGAGTGAGCAGATTTTTGGGTATAAGCAGAGTTGGAGACTTCCCTAATTGAATACAATGGAGTAAGCTCGGGAAGAGAGAGGCAAGGGCTTTAAGGGTGTTTGCAAGGGAATAATTGCAGACATGTGCTGTGGCTTTTAGGCTAGCTAAAGAAAAAGATGTGAGGACATGGATCGCTGATTATGGTTGAGAAAATGATAGAGTCTAAGGATGAGAGTTCTTCATGAAATTGGAGAATTGCTGAAGCAGGAGTTCTTGAGAAGAGGATCCAGAAGGATGGGGGATGCTGGTCAGAGAATGGGACTCTGGACATTACAGCATCAGCAGTGTGCAGTGATTGTCATGATAAAAAGAATGCCAGGTTGTCTGAGAGGGCATGGAGGATTAGATTATCAGAGGCCAAAAAGGCTGAGGAACTGAGAGGCCAAGATGTCAGATGGAATATCCACATGAACAGTAAAATCACTTTTTTTTTTTTTTTTTTTTTTTTTTAAGACAGAGTCTTACTCTGTCACCAGGCTGGAGTGCAGTGTCACCATCTTGGTTCACTGCAACTTCTGACTCCCTGATTCAAGCGATTCTCCTGCCTCAGCCTCCCAGTAGCTGGGATTATAGTCATGAGCCACTGTGCCTAGCTAACTTTTGTATTTTCAGTAGAAACAGGGTTTTACCATGTTGGCCAGGATGGTCTCGATCTCCTGACCTCATGATCCACCCACCTCAGCCTCCTAAAGTGCTGGGATTACAGGTGTGAGCCATCACACCTGGTTTGAAATTAGTTTAAAAAGAGACAGAGAGAGAGAGAGAGAGAGAGAGAGAGAGAGAGAGAGAGAGAGAGAGAGAGAGAGAGAGAGAGAGAGATATGAAAAGGAGAGAAATGAGCCAGGTGGGGTGAGGACTGTTTATGTCTTGACTCAAGGGAGGCCTGGGCTTCATATTTTTTGGCTTTCTGAAGGGAGGATAACTCCAAGATAAAAAGTAAGAGGCACAAAACAAAATGAAAGGAAAAAGCCAAGAGCCCATTTGTCCCAGCCCAGTGTTCTAGTGTGGTTGCCTGACAGTGAACTGCAAGTGCATTTTAATCTTAACCCAGGAATGCTCAAGTCTGAGCATTCAAGTAGGGCCGCAGTGGACGTAAGAGCGTAGTTCTCAGCTCATTCTCCATATCTACATGTGGGCTTTTTTACCTGCTGGGAGTATCCACAGACGTCATTAGACTCTCAAAGTGAGCATGACTCCAACAAGTCAAGAGCCACCTAAGAGGTCAGAGTGTGTTCCCTCTAAAGGGGAGATGAGCAAAATCAGTCAACTGCATTATACTATTAATGATGATAACAATAATAATGATAATGGCTGATATTTCCTGAGTACTGTCTTCCTTTTGTGTGTGTGTGTAAGATGAGGTCTTGCTCTGTTGCCTAGTCTGGAGTGTAGTGGCACAATCGCAGTTCACTGTAGCCTTGAACTCCTGGGCTCAAGCAATCCTTTTGCCTCAGCCTCCCGAGTAGCTGGGACAATAGGGACTAGGTACGAGCCACCATGACTGGGTAATTTTATTTTTTATTTTTAAGTTTGTAGAGACAGGGGTCTCACTTTGCTGCCTAGGCTGGTCTCGAACTTCTGGCTTCAAGCAGTCCTCCTGCTTTAGCCTCCCAAAGTGTTGACATTATAGGCCCGAGCCACTCTGTCTGGCCTTTATTATTTTCTATGTGCCAGGTCTTATGCAAAAGAAAACATGCCCGGAGTCTGGCGTGTGTCACTGAAGTGTCTCACAAGAAATAAATGAAAAGGCAATTCCATTTTAAGTATCAGTCTTTGGTGAGTTGGTTACCATGAGTCCTTTCATCAGAGACCAACCGACTCTCTGAATCACCAATCAAATTTACTTTCAGGACTTACATGGTCAACTTCCCTTTGGTGACCACATCGATATAAAGTAACCAAGTGAGGCCTCTCAGGAGTAGTCACCCTGGCTCTGTAAACGTGTATCTTATTGGTTGCTCCATTAGGTTGCTTTCTTCAAAGTATTTTCTTTCAATGGCAATTTACCCTGTGAGGCAAAATAAGTGAGTACTTCAATACTCACTTTCAATAAAAATAACATTAAAATTTGAGATTTTTGGTTGGGTGTTCTGGCTCATGCCTGTAATCCCAGAATTTTGGGAGGCTGATGCAGGAGGATTGCTTTGGCCCAGGAGTTCAAGACCAGCCTGGCAACATAGTGAGACCTCATCTCTACAAGAAACTAAAATGTGTGTGTGTGTGTGTGTGTGTACACACATGTAAATATACATGTCTATACATAATTTGAGGTGTTTAAGATATGGGGAAAATATGGTTATTTGACTTAATCTATCAAAAACTTCTAGGTTTGAGATACCCTTCTTACAAATCATTGATAAAATATGAATTCAAAATTTGTCAAGATTTTTAAATGATAAAATCCAGCTTTAGTAAGGATATAAAGAAACTCACACTCTTGTACGTCGCTAGTCAATTAATATAATAGCAGTATTTTTTTATCAAGTGCTCAAAAATATTTGTACTTAGAAATTTTCTTTCTAAGCCTTTTTCTTATGGTGTAATTACTGATACAGATAGAGCTATATTTTGGGGGTATTAAGTTAAAGATATTATTCTGAAAACAATCTCTAAGTATTCAATAAGAGATTCG